TTCCCTACTGGACTTCTTATTTTCCAGTACAAAACCAAAAAACTGTCACATACCAAGTTGCTTAGAAGAGGAATTACATGTCTACTAATGAATTCAGGTTTAGTTTAAACAAAACAATCAAGAAAGTTTGCAAATAGATCTGTCCTGTTGATATGGTTTAAACTTAGCATATTACAGGCTCCTCCAGATGCTTTCATACAAATAAACCAACAAACAATGCATGCTAGCACTGCTTTAAAGGAGCCAGGTTTATTTTTAATAATCCCTTACAGCCACTGACTCATGGAAAAAATTTTAGGGAATATACATGTAATTTTACTATGAGAGACTTCAAAGAAAAAAAAAAAGGAAAGTCCTTAAAAAGTTACTTACCTTGAAATATAATTTTCTAGTATTTGTAGTTGTTTTAAAAATGAAGCTTGATATTTGACTGGAATTCTTTCTAGGTTGGGTTTAAATACCAATTATAAAATACAAACCAATGTGACTTAAAGACTATGACACTGTTCTAGCACTTTTAGGCATTTCATATTAATTCTAGTAAGGCAGAAATTCTAGGAAGCTTAATGTAATGCTTCTCACAGCTCTACTTGCAAGTAAGCATCACACAGTTATCAAGAGGCAAAGAATTCAATTTGTTAATTTTAAAATTATTCACATTGGTGCCTTTAGCTAAACGAACTATTATGTGAGCAGGATGTTTTAGGAACTACTCAGTATGGTAGGATATTCTTTAATCATCATTAGTTAGATGTACAAATGATTATGGAACATACAATATGTTGCAGCTTTGGATCATTACCCATGGAAATGTAATTCAGAAGTACAAACAATAATTATTTCCGTCACTCCTTTTACTGAAACATAGCTTTCTTTAATTAGGATACTGATAAGTGAGTAAAGGAAATACAAGATTTTTAAATATTTAATACGATAAGGAATAAAATGAGCTTTTAACTGAGAAAGATTAAGCCTCCAAACAGCCTGCATACAGGTTGTTCCACTTTCTTAGGAATGCCCACTAATATAATGGACTAAAGGAAGATGAAAGATATTTTTTCCATGGTAGCAGCCAGTCTCTTGGGACCTCAGTCCTTTCCAGATCTGTCAGCAGCACCAGTGAAGAACAGACTGATGCAACACTGGAAACCTCACACTGCTGCATGACAGCTCTGTCCTTGGAATGGCGGCATCCTGCTCCTCCCATAGGCAGCAGCTGGCTATTGCTTCAGTGTCTGGGGTTTAGGAGACAAATCAGGAAGTTTCCCCAAATCTGATAAAGGTAGAGCATGCAGAGCTGCACTCTCTAAGGCACTGGGACAACTGATAAGACAACATTCAGCGGACACCAGATGTCTACGAAACAGTACAAAACCCAGCAGCAATCATGGATGGTGTCTTTCCCAGCCTGCAAGAGCTCAGGACCCTCCTAAATCATACATGTCATCTTTGCAGTTAGGAGCCCATTTTACTTTCATTAGAGTCCGTCAATTTTTAGAATGGACATTAGCATCCAGCCTCACCAATATTCCACTGCGAAGAGTTCCACTTAATTATCTGTTGTGTGAAACACTTTGTTTTCGATGTTTCCTCATTTAATTTGTACAAAAGAGTTTAACTTGGAACACCAGTGTTGCCATCAATCTAGCCCTAGAGATGGACTCACACAAACTGCCTCCCTAAAGCTGAAGGAATGGTTGAGAAGCAATGACTAGGTGTTATTTAGGAGAAAATATATGTACTGATTGAAAGTGAGACTGCACATTAACAGACACAAGATATAAACGATGAACATATAGATGAAATCAACATCACTGGTGACAAATGCTTCAGACGTTTCTTGGAAGACCACCACTGCTTGATGTAAAGGCTCACATGCAGTCCTCTACCAGCCCGTTTTCTGTCAAGAAGCATCCTCTGCTTCTGTCAGAACCAGTTAATTAAAATGTAGCAATAGGTTATACTGGAAAAGTTAACTCCTGTTTGCGAAAAGTAGATCTGCACTGATAGATTTATTTAATCAAAGAATGAAGAGCTTTCAATTCTAGACACCCATAGATAGACTTATTTCTGGTTGCTGAGTTACTGTAGGAGGACAAGTGATTTCCTTCAGGAGTCAAAGATGAAACTTTAAGTAAAACAGTATCTAGCAAAAATGAAGAAGCCCGCTACTAAGCATCTCTCAATTATTTTCATTACTGTTTTTTCCCCCAGAAAATTATGAGAGAGTTAAAATACAGAAATTCGTGTATGTTAAAGTATTAATGTCTTTTCACTGCCACCTACCACCTACACTCAGGACAGAACCATGGGAAATAAACAGGCAAATCTATCTAAGATGTAAAAATGTCAGAGGACTATGTTGTCTCCTTCTAACTGCTTTGTCAGGTACATACCAAATACTACCAGCTAAGACAGCTTTTACATAATGGTAAATTTTTAACAAAACCCAACACACATGCCATAGAATTTAAGTTAAAGTGACAGGTTCAAAATAGAGCTTTACCCAGTATTTTGGAAATCTACATATGAAAGAAAATTATACATCTTTAGGGTTTTGTGGAGTTTCCAACAGTAATTGCTTTGGATTTAAAGAAATCTAGTGATAAATCCAACTTACAGTTAAAGAGTATTAACTTATATTAATCCTACAATAAAATACTACTATAATCCAGAGACAGGAACAAGAATTTAAATTAGTAAGATTAAAGACTTTTTAAGTGCCAAGCTAAAAATTTTAAATATCACAGCACCTGTGACTTAGTATAGCCTTCTCTAAATATATTCCAGAAATAATTGCATTAGTCAAAGCTCTTAGATGAAATTGCTTCTTCATCTTCTCCAGAAACCATGACAATGACAATAGAGATTAATGGGATATTAGTGCTTTTTATAGAGACATTCACATGTACAAGGTTTACCAGTTATCCCTTTGTTTTTAACATGTCTTTTCCAAGTGAGTTGAAGCTTCACTTTCAAGAAGGCCAACAGAAGAGTTTATAGGAGTTAAAGAATATGCTGCAAAACAATTTGTGAAGTAGTTGCATGATGCATCAAGTATACCATTCCCATGGCATAGAAACTCCATAATTACTCACTCCAACAAGACGCCCAGTAAGAAAGTCCTGGGTATGGTTTCAACTTAGAAATAAAACATAAAAAAATATTTTTTTATTTACTTTAAGACACAGACAAAGCAACAGTAGTAGAAGCATGAAAATCCATTGGACCAGTCTCTGCAGTACAAGACTTTTTCAAAGTTCTAAACAAGTTTAATTCTGAGAAGTACAATTATTAAACTAAAAGTTAACTACTTATAATAGATGATGATATTTCAGATAAACCACGTGGAACTATCTTACCTCTTCTCCTGAAAGATAATAAGCTGAAAGGAGTCCACCAACAAAACGGATGTTCACTTCAAATACCGAAATTTCAGCATTCTGTTGAAATAAACATAGTTTTACTCCTTGACATTTTTCTGTACAGTTTTGTTTGGTTTTGTTTTTTTAATACCCATTCAGGTACTAAGTTACAACAGTCGTAAATAGCAAAGCACAGAAGAGGTAG